GGTAAGAAATACATGAAAACAAATAAGAAGCTGTTTCTCCAAAAGACTGTAATAATGGTGGTTTGAGCTAAGAGTTCTGGACTAAATGATTGGCTGATGTGCTGTCCTATAATTTATATGTGTATAATGCCAATCACTTTTTTTTTTTTAACTACAGAACACTGTTAATAAGAGATGGTGGCAACCCAGTGACACAAGTATTTTTGTTCTGTTACCATTCGATATTTCAGATGATTAAAGCTACAAATGTTAGAAGGATTGAAACAATGTAAGATAAATCATGCAATGTTGGTGAGAAGTTATTTCTAATTAAAAAATGAAGATCCCAGTACTATATTAGTATACAATTAGAATAAAATTGTGGGGAAAATTAAAAGTTTTTCATATGCAAACAAATCATTTGGATTTCATTTGCTTTCCTGTAATGTTCTTAATCATTTTTGTTACCTGCACACTCTAGGGGCATCCACCTTTACCCAGTTCCTAGGGCTCAGTGCGTAACCTCACACTCTAGGGCAACCACCTTTACCCTGTTCCTAAGGCGATGTCTACACTTGTCATTTAAAGCGCAATATGTCCCTTTAAAACCATAGGAGCATCTACACTTGTTAATGACTTTTTGCAGTGAAACTCAGAAGTTTCACCGCAAAAAGAAAACCATCTTTACAAGAGGCATACAGCTCTTACCGCTGTTCTTTTTGCGCTGTTGTGAAAGTGAAGACACATTCTACCAGTGTAAACACTTTTTGGCCTTTGAAGGATATTCCACAGTTCCAAAAGTGTCACTCTGGCCAGCATTTCTGCTGCTCTGATGCTAGGTAAACGGACGTCCGCCCCTCCCCCTGTAAGCCCTGGGAAGTTTGAAACTCCCTTTCCCATTGCTCGTATATATGGCAGGGAAAGCAGCCAGACAGCAGGGGTTTTTAAAAAAAATGCCATGAAAGAAACAAGGAAGTAATGTGGCTGCTGGGACATGAAGCAGTGCAGCACGGGGCACTGAGCAGGGACCCAGAATGCCTTCTGCTCACCCTCCCCTTCCCACAAGACCTATCAAGAGAGCTGCACTGTGGGATAGCTGCCTTACAGCGCTGCTCTCATCGGCGATGGAAGTGCTGCTAGTGTAAACACTCTCTGACGCCTGAGAAATTAAGTGAGTACACAAACCAGCGCTTTTCTTTCACCGATTCCCTATCACCGGTGAAACTTGCAGTGCAAAAACTCTGCAAGTGTAGACATACCCTAAGGCTCAAGGTGTAACCCTTACCCTCTGCAGGTTTGCAGGATCTTTCACCAGTGAAAGATCCTTACACAGTGAAATCCTTAACCTATGTCTATTAACAATCATCAAAACAGAGTGCACACACTAAGCATACAATGCTCACCACTCCCAATAAGGCAGACGAACTTTTCCTGCTGGCCAGTCAGAATCAGGTCGTCCGGGGACTCCAGTTTCTGCACGATATAGTTGACAGGATGTTGAAATCTGGCAGTTCTGATCTTGGGGCTGTGTCCTGGAGTTGATTCCAAAGAACTTCCTTTTGGACCTCGGTTGATATAGTGAAATTTGAGTCCTGCTTAGCTATACCTTAACCAATCATTTTACTGAAGTATTACAAAATAATTCTTTGATTATATCCTAATATATTTCAAAATAATCCTTTACCCAATCCTATCCCACCCAGGGCTTTGGAGCGGAGCCCGGAGCTGGAGCGTGGAGCAGCTCCGGAGCAGTGGAGCTGCAGGTTTTTGCCTGGAGCCGGAGCACAGCTCCAAAGCCCTGCCACTACCTTAGGTGACTTACATCTTGCAAAATTAGTTATGTAACAGACAGAAACTATACAGATAAACAAGAGAGAAGTAGGGACCATAGGGACCATAAAAGCAAAACAATAAAGAAGTAGAGATTTCATACTCTCCCTGTTAAATGATTCCTTGTCATTAAAAATCTTCAGACAGGATGATCTTACTATAAGTTATGAAAGGTTTTTCATGTGCAGGTATTACATTATGTCTTTAGGACGTGTGTTAAAATTACTTGGATGCCAAAAAATTTTAAGTCAAATTCCAGCCTGGAGGGAGTACTTATAGAGCTTTAAACCTATAGAAAAGCAACTTACACTGGAAGTCCTGACCCAATTGCTGTAAATGCCAATGTAGTTGATCAATACATGCAGGTGAATGAATAGCAGATACATAGAATGAATTTAAGCAGCAGGTCGCAACTTTATTTAACACTGGGAGGGGTGCATGGCACCCCACTTCCTGCTCTCTCATACCAGGCATTTAACTGGGTCCAGAATCGTGTTCAGGACTCCCAACACAGAACCAGTAACATGGAGTCATCCCGCTTTGGCTCACCCCTATGACTCAGCTTGCTTCTGAATCCTTCCTACCTCCCCTGCAAAAGGGTTGGGGAATAGAGGTTCCCAAGGGAGGAGCTCAGTCTACAAAAACTTCAGGTCTCCTGTTTTCACATAAGCAGAAGGACCACTAGCAAAATCCAGGGTTTCATTTATCTTTGGGAACTGGTCTGTCTTATCCTTCAATACGTTGGATACCAGCTGTAAGTTGTGACAAGCTAAAACAAGTTTTTCTTTTTCACACTTCGACTTTTTTAAAAATCTTAATGCTGTAACCTAACTATGCCTCCATGTGGGTGTAATAGCCAAAACTAGATCTTGTTAGTGGCAGAGTTGTTCATCTCAGATTTTTATAGCATTTGGAAAAATTCTTTGACAGAGATCTAGGTGAATAAATTGTAGAATGACCATTTTGGCATTGTGTGCCCTCTTTGTTCGCAGTCTTTACAGTGGCGCATTCTCCTTCATATATTAACTGGAAGTAGACCAGCACTGAATCAGGGCTTAGTACCTTCACTTCAGGAAGAACTCTTCAGAACAATAGCTCCGAAAGCTGAAAAATACTATATTAAAGTTTATAATAAGCATTACTCAACTCAAACCATTTGCACTAGAGTCTTGACAGGAATTTAGGGATTTCCTGAAGAAAAATTCCTTATTCAAATTACTTAACAAATCAGTACTTGCTAGGAAAAACCACAGGCAAAGAATCATAGAAATAGAGCTAGCGGGGAACTCAAGAGGCCCTTTAGCCCATCCCCCCCCGTGCTAAGGCAGGACCAAGTAAATCTAGACCATCCCTGGCAAGTGTCCAACCTATTCTTAAAAACCTCCAATGACGGCTATTATACAACCTCCCTTGGTAACCTATTCAAATATTTAATTATCCTTAGAGTTAGAAGGCTTTTCCTAATATCTAACCTAAATCACCCTTACTGCAGATTAAGCGCATTACTACTTGTCCTGCCTTGAGTGGATACTGAGAGCAATTGATTACTATCTTCTTTATAACAGACGTTAAAATAATTGAAGACTTTTCTCAAGTTCCTTACTCTTTTTCCCCTAGTCTTCTTTTCTCAAGGCTAAACTTGCCTAGTTCTTTTAACCTTTCCTCAGAGTTCAGGTTTTCTAAACCTTTTATCATTTTAGTTGTTCCTCTGGACTCTTTTCTGTTTGTCCACATCTTAAAGTATGTTGCCGAAAACTGGACACAGTACTCAGCTGAGGCCTCCCCAGTGCTCAGTACGGTGCAACAATTACCTCTTGTGAATTGCATACAATATTCCTGTTAATACACCCAGAATATTAGCCTTTTTCACAACTGCATCACATCATTGGCTTATATGCAACTTCTGATCCACTTTAATAACACCCTAATAATCTCCAAACTATGGGATGCACCCCCCTGGCGGGGTGCAGAGGAATGTTCGGGGGGTGCAGTGGGGCCTGAGCCAACCCCAGTACGGGGCAGGGAGGAAGCACCACACAGCCCTGCTCTGCCCCCAGCTCTGCTCTGGCCCCACCCCCAGGCCCAGCTTGGCTCCCGGCCTTGGGCCCCAGCCACAGCCTTGCTCCCAGCCGCAGCTTCGGCTCCTGGCCCCAATCGTGCCTCTACTCCTGGGCCCCAACTGTGGCTCTGCTCCTGGGCCCGGCTCCACTCTTGGCCATGGCCCCATCTCCCGACTGCAGCTCCTGGGGGTGAGGGGCACGGACAGATTCCATTACGGGTAAGGGGGGGCGTGACAGAAGAACGTTTGGGGACCACTGCCCTAGATCTTTTTCTGCAGTACTACTTATTAGTACTACTACATAATGAGATTTTGGGCGGGGGTCAGACTGGAGGGTCTTAGAAAACTAAAGAGTAGGACCAGATTTTTCCCACATACAGTTTTAAAGAAGCCTTGCACCGCTAGCCAGAGTTTATAGTGAGTTCATGGGAAAGAAAACCTCATTATCCAAACCATCACCAAAATTAAAAATATTAGTTATATAAAGCTCTTGTTTAGAAACAAAGCCAGATCTGTTTACTTACAAAAGCTATTGTTGCAATTATAGTGCTACTCATTACATATATATTTAATATTTTAAAATGTGCAGTAGTTCTGAATTATTTTATAAACACAGTGTGGTAATTTACCTCTTACAATGACCTGATTTACCATGGCTTTACTCCAGTTTTATGTCTTTGTAGCTTCACTGATTTCAGTAGAGTTCCACTGATATAAAACAGGAGCAGTGTAATGCTGAATCAGGAATTTCAAGAGCTAAAAAGAGGACTAATTTTAGATGATGCTTTTTGTACAACAGAAACAAACTAAAGCTGAATTAAATTTATACAATTTGTCCAACTCTTCTTATTTTGTTTGAGACATATTGATTCTTGTAATATATCAGCCACTTTTAGCTCCTCATTTGGTCAGAGGTGTTCCTTTAAAACATATTGTGGTTGTTACTCATTTCAGCGGTCAAAAAAGGTGGAAAATGTTGTTCTTTGAGATGTATTAAACTGCACAGAATAAAAGACATATGGAACAAAGACTGCAAACTGTGACCAAGTGACATACATTGGAATAATGGGAATACAGAATATATCTAATCGTCAGGCATACAAACTCTCATAAATGATTCTTTTCCTCCTAGGACTTCTTTTGCTGGGCATCTGGCAGGTATTCTTGTTGGCTTGATGTACACGCTGGGGCCTCTGAAGATGCTCATGAAAGCAACTGCAGGTACATAGTGAACACTCTTGGCATGACAAGAAGTTAACAGTCTAGCTCAATATTAAATTTAAGATTTGGGTTATTAGAAATAATTAGAGCCAAGAACAGGATCAAATATTTTTCAAATGTTTGTACTTCCTAAGACAATAAATTATTAAAAAAAAAATCAGGGGTAAAATTAAAATGCCATTTAAAAACCTTCATTTTAAATGAAGTGTAGTAAACCCAGAGAAATAGCATGTTGTTATATTATGCTGAGTATGGTATATTTCTATCTTTTTATTACCTGTATACATTATATTGGAAGTACCCACATTTTGAAAGTGAGCTTTTGGCGTTTAGACAGTTGTCTAAAGAATTTCCAATATTGTTGATTTTGGTATTGTATTACTACAGGTTTACACATGGTGCTGGTTAAATGGGGGGAAAATGCAAATACTGCACATCTGTGTATTTAGAAATACAAACCATGGGCCCAGTCCTGCAACTCCTTATGTGAGTAGTCCCACTGACTTCACTGTTTCAATCAGGTAAAAATACAAGGGTCACATTACTGAAAGTTTACAGGGCTGGGCCCGATGACATAGTGTGTTTTATATGTTTATTCAAAAATGTAAATAGTCAAAAGTAGTGCTTTGAATTTTCTATAGTAGCTGATGTTCTCAGCATAACAAAAGCTTTTCACAATAAATATTTGTATAAACTAAAAATAATAATAAATATGGATACGTAGCTTATTTACAATACGGTTGACTAATGTACTGTATTTATTCATGATACCTTGTTAAATGTGAATATAGCTAATGTATAATGAGACTACCTTATCAGTTCAGAAATCTGTTCTCTTTCTACTTTTCACTGAAGCTGTAATATTAAATGATTTGTTTTAGCTCTATTTTTAAATAGTAAAATAAATCCTTAACAAATAATCCAGTAGGTCACTAGCCTGAAGATTTATCCTACTTGCTGTCAATGCTTGAAGTGCATGCAGAGTTTGGTGATGAAGCCTCCGTAAGTTCCAGATATATAGGACTTTTAAGTGGCAAAACTAAGAGAGAGAGATTTCACAACCCGCTTGGTAGATATGAGACAGTTTGCACCTTTTTTAAGGGTGAATCTTTCACCCATCTGTAGCAGTGCTGTCTGGTGGTAGAAACAGTGTAGTACAGTGGGTGAGGCAGGATTTGGAGAGAGCTCTTTGCTGCAGGAAGGATATCACCTGGACACTGCTGTACAGCCAGGATTTGGGGGCAGGGCCAACTGATTGTTTCCTGGATCCACAAGTCTTCTCTTCCTCCTCTTATGTAGCAGGGCACAGACAGAACAGGGGCTACTCTAGCCGTAAGTTTTCTGTGGAGTGGCCTGAAACTGAACAGCTAGCTCCTTTCTCCGCTTCAGAGGAACTTCCCAGTGCACAATTTACCTGCAAAAATTTCCCAACCCTGCAGAATGTTTACTGGGTATCTTCTCTTCTGCATGGTTCTTCCCTTTTTATTATATCAGACATCACTTTGAGACTCAGAGAAAAATATTAAGATTATAAACATTAAATACTTTGACTATTACTGGGCAAAATTTTATAGAAAACCCGCTGTTCTACAGCCTCATCACACAAGACCAAGATTCTGTAGGTGGTAATACTGCAAACTCAATTTTTAATTTTTGTAGAAGGATTATAAAATTATTTATGAATATTAAGTGTATTACATTTCTTCCTGGTAGGTGACTTTCCCTACTTTAATGACTCTGCAAGACAGAGAGACTACTACTCAGGTAAGCACATTCACTCCATTGTCTAAAAATTTTGTTCACTTTTCCTTTCAACTTTGTATTTTTTTCTTTAAAATAATAAAAATAAAGATACCATTTTATGAACTGTAGAATATTTGGTTATTTGGAAAATGAAAATGGTTAAGTGGGGGAAAATGATGAATGTACATAAGAAAGTATCTTGGCCTCAAAATATACAAATAAAATAACCAGGTTTTTTTTAAATAGCAACTTTGAACATTGTTCTTATTAAATTATATGAAATTCAAAGCATTCAGGATGGAAGACTATATGTTGGTGATACTGTGCCATATTTTTCCTTCCTCTTTAGGTGAATGTATAGGTAGTTCAAAAGCAGTTTCTCTACGAAGAGGCTGAAAACCTCAGCAGAGGAAATTGGTTAGAGTGCAGTCTTTTGTTCCATGTCACATTATGTAAATACTGGAAGTGTGAGGACTATGTAGACATTGGTAAATGTGTTGAGACAAGTGCTATAGGTGGTGATTTCTGCTTCACATAGCCAATACCTCACAAAGCATGCATACTGTATATATGCATAATATTAGTCATGGTGAAAACCTACAAAGGATGACAACCCTTAGTGGAATTATCTCTGTAACTCTCGCATTTCCTGCGTGATGAGCATGCACCAGTGTAGGCAAAGAAATGGTCTGTGCAATCTGAGCCTAGTTATTATACTCCACCTACTACATTCAGATTGAGTATGAATTTCAAATCGCCATTTTTTATTAAAAACAATAGTGGTTGTGGAATGACACTTGACACTACCTCTATTCCTTCCGGTCATGCTATTTTCTCCACTGCTACTAAGTGTGTTTCTCTTCTTTCTCTCCTCTTATGCAGTAATAGCAGCTGCAATAACAACACAGCTCTTAAATTCTCTGTTTTCCTCTCTGGGATGGGCCCCTATTGGAGAAAGCAAAAGCAAAGTCAGTTCAGCAATAGCAGCAGCAGCAGCATTAACACTTACTGCTAGTCTTGGCATGCAATCATTTTGTGATGCCAATGGACAAGGAACATTGTTTTAACGGTACTGTACAGCAGATCAGGCAGCTAACTAGGGAAACAGTTTTTAGTAGCTGAGATAGTTTTGAGATGCTTTGTTTCTATGTATTTATCGAAGGGCCCAAAGAAAGTTTCTCAAGGGAACTGCTGGGGATGTCATTTACTACGCTACTAATATTTGGATCATCATGAAATTTTTAATTCATGCCTTTCCTATCTTTGGACACTTAACAGCTTAATTACTACCTTCTTCCTTCCTCCTAAGGCTCTTTTAATTCTCCAGCCAATGCATGACCCAGAACCCCTACACATGATCTCTGCTTCACATGACCCTCCTCAACAAAGATGTTTTCCTAAACAGAATGGACAAACTACAGGGAAACCTGGATATGTGTCTAGATGGGAAGTCTAAAGTTAGCTGCTTTATCACTGACAATGGGCCCGATAAGGTAAAAGCAATTAATGTTGGACACTAGTGCACTATCCATTGCTTTGTTCAAATCCTCAATCCCTATGAGGCGCTGTTGCTGCAGCACACAAGTTCTGTCACTTAGTGGTAGTAGTAAGCTACTGGTAATTCAGGAAAATGAAGACATTCTGCAGAATAGCCTTATGGCCAGTATAATTTTACTGGACAAGAGCATCTATTGGAACCCTGAGTTACATGTTGCGTTACTTGATTAGAAAAATTAAATTTTGTCAGAGGATTGTGAAGTTAGGACATAGAGGAACTATAGGCCAATACCAATGTGTGTGGACGGAGGCACTAGTTGGAGAATTAGAACTCTTTGAACATAGAATCATAGAATATCAGGGTTGGAAGGGACCTCAGGAGGTCATGTAGTCCAACCCCCTGCTCAAAGCAGGACCAACCCCAACTAAATCATCCCAGTCAGGGCTTTGTCAAGCCTGACTTTAAAAACCTCTAAGGAAGGAGATTCCACCACCTCCCTAGGTAACCCATTCCAGTGCTTCACCACCCTCCTAGTGAAAAAGTTTTTCCCAATATCCAACCTAAACCTCCCCCACTGCAACTTGAGACCATTACTCCTTGTTCTGTCATCAAGTATCACTGAGAACAGTCTAGATCCATCCTCTTTGGAACCCCCTTTCAGGTAGTTGAAAGCAGCTATCAAATCCCCCCTCATTCTTCTCTTCTGCAGACTAAACAATCCCAGTTCCCTCAGCCTCTCCTCATAAGTCATGTGCTCCAGCCCCCTAATAATTTTTGTTGCCCTCCGCTGGACTCTTTCCAATTTTTCCACATCCTTCTTGTAGTGTGGGGCCCAAAACTGGACACAGTACTCCAGTTGAGGCCTCACCAATGTGGAATAGAGTGGAATGATCACGTCCCTCGATCTGCTGGCAATGCCCCTACTTATACAGCCCAAAATGCCGTTAGCCTTCTTGGCAACAAGAGCACACTGTTGACTCATATCCAGCTTTTCGTCCACTGTAACCCCTAGGTCCTTTTCTGCAGAACTGCTTCCTAGCCATTTGTTCCCTAGTCTGTAACAGTGAATGGGATTCTTCTGTCCTAAGTGCAGGACTCTGCACTTGTCCTTGTTGAACCTCATCAGGTTTCTTTTGGCCCAATCCTCTAATTTGTCTAGGTCCCTCTGTATCCTATCCCTACCCTCCAGCATATCTACCACTCCTCCCAGTTTAGTGTCATCTGCAACTTGCTGAGAGTGCAGTCCACGCCATCCTCCAGATCATTAATGAAGATATTGAACAAAACCGGCCCCAGGACCGACCCTTGGGGCACTCCGCTTGAAACCGGCTGTCAACTGGACATGGGGCTGTTGATCACTACCCGTTGAGCCCGACGATTTAGCCAGCTTTCTATCCACCTTATAGTCCATTCATCCAGCCCATACTTCTTTAACATGCCACATATGACTTCATTTATAGTGCAGTACATTGATCCATGTCCTCCTTGTAGTGCAGTAGTTCTCAAACTTTTGTTCTGGTGACCCCTTTCACACAGCAAGCCTCTGAGTGCGACCCACCCTTATAAATTAAAAACACTTTTTAATATATTTAACACCATTATAAATGCTGGAGGCAAAGCGGGGTTTGGGGTGGAGGCTGACAGCTCGCGATCCCCCCGTAATAACCTCACAACCCCCTGAGGGGTCCCGACTCCCAGTTTGAGAACCCCTGTTGTAGTGCATATACTTGTAGGTCTCCACAGCCTGTTTCAGAGTAGCAGACAAAAGAGAATCCAGGATACATCTCATTATCATTCCCACAGTGAGCCCAGTTATGGCCTACTTGAGGCTATCTATGTATCATGATTTCCTCCTCTCCCCACCCCCACTCCCCTGGTGACTTCTCTTGAAGGAGCTGTCACTCACCACAAGTAAAAGTCTGTCTCAAATTTCTTTGCCTCTCTGCCTGCATTTCCAGTGCTGATACTTTCCACACCCTTTTGTCCATCATGATTTTTATTTTGTTCTGGATTCCATTAATATTTTTTCTGAGTATTTCCCACCTAATAAGAGCTCTGACTGGGTATTTTCCATATCAGAATATCTGTTTGTTTGGTAATCCCTGGCACTTGTGGCAATTAAAGATCCCATAGAATTTTTTTGCAAGAGTGGGTCTAGTTTTCTGACCAAATTTTTCCTGTTGAATGGTGATGGGAGCCATTTAAAGACATTTTTTCTCTGTGCTTTCAGTTGAAAGAACACCATGAATTTAAAAACTCTTGCATATGAAATCTTTTTACCTATGGTTGTTTAGAAGTAACAACTAAGATTTGCTCAAATGATCCCCACAGTGACACTTTACAAGTTAAGAATAGTTTATGGCACAAAGGCTGCACGTTTATTAAATAAGAAGAATATTTTTAAAAATGGAGGGATATGCCACAAAGGGTAGCTATAGCCACTCAGCATGAGCCACCCCTTTTCATGATTGACCAGACCCCAAAGTAAAAATGGCTAACCAGGCAGAGATACTCTGTCCCACCCAAGCCAGGACATTTAGCTTGTACCAAGCCATGCACTACCCCTATAAAGAGCATTAGAGCCAACACAGGACAGACTCCAGGCAGCTTTTGCTTACAAGTATCAGTCCCAGCTACATAAGAACCACGATTCTGGAAGTTTTATACATCTTCCCTTTCTTGCCATCCTGGCTCAAAGAGCAGAACAAATGTACTCCCTGCAAAGAATACATCCACCACCAAAATAGCAACACAAAGTAGTAGAACACATGGAAATTTCAATACAATTCTGTATCAATCAATATAATAACTTACATTTGGCAATTATGTACCAATACAGTCTCCCAAGGATAGCAACCAACTGCTTTTCTTAAGCTGTCTTTCCCCCCTGCCCCAGCATATCGGTTGGAGGGCAGACCTTGCTGTAGGAGAAGGAGCTCCTGAATGATCCTTTGATTCCTCCCCCAGCTCACAACTAAGGAGGAGGGTGCAGAATATTACACTTTTGCATCTCCGTGTATTTGGCTGAGCTGGCCAATAAGAGGGGCTCCTTATCACCAAAGGTGCAATCTTTGGTGCAGCCCTACATCAAGCAGGGCTGTGACTGATTGGGAGAAGCAAGGAGCCCATGGCACCCATCTCGGGAAACCATCAGCTCAGGCTATTGCTGCCCATGAGTCTGTGTGGACGGTGTGCATTAGCTGTATTTTCCTGTGTGATTGCCAAGCTACTTGTAGTTGTAAACATTATTTAATTTGTTTAGGATAAGTACTTGAATGTTAGGGTTTTTTAGAAATGTAGCTCATGAAAATATGAACAGTAGAATTAGAACAGTAGGAACCCCACATAACTTGGGATGTTGTTTTGGGGCCCTTTCTCATTATGAACTACAATTTGAAGGCTTTGTAAAGGTGATGAATCAAATGTAGTACCTTGAGCATATAAGACTCTGGCTATGGAACAAACGTAAAACATGACATACGTTCTCTTTTGTATGGCAAGGAACATATTTACATTTTTTAGT